ATGGATGGATGGATGGATGGATGGATGGATGGATGGATGGATGGATGGATGGATGGATGGATGGATGGATGGATGGATGGATACTGTGCATTGCTGGAATGTTGTTTTTAAATGTTAGTAGATGCTCAGTTTTTTTATTAAGACCAGATATGTTTTCTCTCCTAACCAAAATCAGCCGAGCAGAAATGAAACATTTGTGTATTTTTGATTGAAAAATAAGCCACTCATGGAATGAAAGTTTGCTTGTACATTTTAATAGCTCCTTTTTAATCTTTTGACATTAGTATAATACTTATCGCTTCATCATTGTTCTATTTATGGATAAGTTAGGAAAGTTTTCTATAAATCTTCATAGGTTTTGATCTATAGGAGTATGGTACAACAGATCTATTGGGTGATTGCTGATAGAAAGAGTTTTTCCTGGATTTTTTTTTTTTTCAATTCCAGTCATTTCAGGAAAGGTCATAGTTACCATGCCCTGTTCAGCACATGAGGAAGCATACCTAAATTTAACGGGAGCGTACATATTAAAAAATTGAAAAGTAGAATAAATTGTACACAATCATTTGAAATGTTTACTCACATTTAAGCCATCCCATCCAACAGAGTTATTTTTAAATAAAAAACACCCAGCAGAGAAAATAAACTACTCTGAGTCTCTATAACAAATGTAATATTATACTATAGTGTTTGAGGTTTTTATTTTTTGCTATACGCCAAAAAATAGCAAGCAATGAATGCATCTTGAACCTTGAATCATCACATTAAGCCAGATGAAAAAGCCTTTTTCTGCTCAAAGGCCTAAAAATGTAATAAAAGGTATTCAAAATTTTGCATATATGCTCTAGCAAACTGAAATGTGGTAATATGTAAATTTTGATTGTAACGTGTATTGCAATAAGATAACTAGCATCTATTTTTGCTTGTAAAGAGCCAAGCAACCTGCGTACATCCCATCTTTATTTTTTTTAAAGGAAATTGAGCCATACAATTTTTAGGGATGTACAATTTTCTCAAAATGCAGCACCATTTTTTTCAAATAAAAGAGATATCAGAAAATAAGTTAGAAAGTACACAGGGGGAAGAAAATGTGTTTTTGTGCGCTGTTTTGTTTATAAAAGCTTTTAAAATAATCTAATCATGTCTGGATATGAATTATGTTCTATTTGTTAATAAAGTCTGAAACACTGCCTTGCGTCCCATTGTTAGTCATTATCACATGAAAAAAAGAATAAACAACCACCTTAGCAGCTCTAGATGATGCTTACTAAAGAAATTCTTTACTTATACTGTAGATTGAATCAGTAGGTGTAAATTGCAATAAAAACAGGGTACTAGTGATGTCACTGCTGAACCTCTTTTGCATTAAGAAGGTATAAGATTGGTTCTTTATCATTATGTTATATTCAGAAACTTTTATGTCAGCAGTTGGGAAAGAGCTAGAGGCTAACAGTGACTCTTCACTGCACATCGCCTCTTCTTCCAAGTATACTTGACTAACATTGCGCCATATACTATACGAATAACAAAGACAAGAGGTTTTAGTAAACGACCATTACTCAGAGACAGTGTGTTTACATTTGTGGTGTGCAGAGCTGGCTACAACGAGCATCATCTGTTTTTAACAGGCTGAGGGGTTCTGCTTCAGCACCGTCTTAGGGTCCAATCCAACAGGCGCTAGCAGAGCCCTTGACGTCCAGACATGAAACAGGGCTGCGGTAACTGCCACTCGTGTTTGAGTTTTCTCAGAGGGAAGAAGAAAATGCGTAGATAAAGGCTGTAGGGATGACATGAATGCATCGCATCCCGTTGGTGTCTGTGTACACAGAGTTTCCACTTTAGGCCTTACAGTGAACCTGGCCGCCGGCCTTCTAAGGGCTCAAAGGGCTTGCCAGACACGTTCAAGCTGAGTTGTACAATCTCTGCCAGGCAGCTGCTTGGCCAAACACAAAAACCATCTATTAGGATATTAAGTTTGGTTTGAAAAAAAAAATTATAGGCAGTATTGATTTTGAATTTTAACCTGCTATTAGAGAAACTAAGTCCTAGTTTTCTTTTCTTCATGTTGGGTCTGTGTCAGTGAAATATAAAACCTTTGCTCTGTGCAATTTATGACAAGGAGGGAGAACCTGTATATCAAGTACAGTTATGCTGTGAATTGATTGTTGTCATTTCGACACTAGGCCTATTTAATTACTGATTTGATGAAGTTCCAAAGTATGCTCTGATAGTCTGTTTAATCCCTACTGAGATGCTGTACAATATTGCCCTCCAGTGGTCAATAGTATATTTGCACTATCAATGTCTGTATACAGTACAACATCCTGTTTTTAAGTGTAAAACAATGAAAAAGCTAAATTCATTAAGTGAAAAGCTAAACATTGATCTCAGTTTTATATTTTCTAATGTTTTTTACCTTCTATTTTTTATTATGATTATTTACAGCTTACAGCAACTAAAAATAAAGAAAAAAGAGCTTCAGCTTAGACAAAAATTAATGACAAAATGCATTGAATATTTTTCACTACTGAATTCAATAATACCATTATGATCATTATAACATTTAAACCTTCTTATATTAGTAGCTGATCACATATTTTCCCATTCTTATTTATATTTTAAAAATGTAGATTTGATGAAGAGCCTTTATGGCTATGAGGCCTCCTTCCCCCTTAACCCATCTTAAGCTTCCTCCATAGATTATCTATCAAATGAAGGTCAAGACTCTGACTAAAACTTTCCATTATACATGTCATAATACTTTCAGTCAGAAAAGCTTGCCATTATAGTTAAAATATTCATTTTGACCTCCTCAACAGCTCAGATATCACACATTATTTAGCTAAAATATATTTTTTAAACATCTGACTTTATCAAAGATTCACCTGTCAGCTTAGCTCATACACAGTACCTCTTTAGCTGACATTATAAAAAGAAAAAAAAAAAAAAAAGGAATTTAAGAAAATTTAAGAAAGAGGATAATAGACCCCATGAATCTTGTTCATCCTTGAGGTACATTCATTTTTTTTAAAGATTAGCTGTAACTAAGTGAAGCAGAAGGTAGTAAGATAGTCATTTGGAGTAAAGGAGTGATAAAAAAAGCCACTCTGGAAGGAAGAAGTCAGTAATCTAAAGGCAACATAAAAAGCCAAACGACGTTTTCAATGTGCACTGAGGTACTAAAAACCTTTATTTTTGAGACCATAGAGACTTGCTCTACGGTCTGTAGAAATAAAAATAGAAGAGTATGGCCATGATGGCCGTGATTAGATTTTGAAAAAGAGGGAAGCTTACAGGTGTGACATCATCATCAAAAATCTGAAGTACAATAGATGTAATATATTCCGTTTTAGGGTGTATTTTGCTATGGGGGTGAATGATTCACTTTACAAATTAGATGGCACCATGAGTAAAGAATATGGAAATATTAAAGCGACATTTTCAAGACATTAGCAAGGATGTTAAGACTTTGGCCACAAACAGATCTTCCATTTAAACCTATAAATTATAAATGATAATTTGTGCTTAGTTGCTGGGTAAGTAGAGAGGTAGGTGGAGGTAGAGCCTTAACAGCCTGATCCGGTGGGGGAGAATTTTAGTCCGGATGGAAGTTTCTCCCTGGCTCTACCTTGGCCGCACTGTGGTTCTGCCTTTCTTATACCTCATCCAGAATGCTTAGGTCATCCTGAGCTATTTTCTGCATTTGTGCTGCTGTGGACTTGGACTCCTGGAAGACATAGGGATGCCTTTTCATCATTCTGCTTCATTCTATATTTGTTCTCCCATTCTGCAGTGTTTGTTGGTTCAACCTCTGGTTTAATTTTTCTCTCTGCTTTTTCTCATAGATTTAACTGGTCTTGTCCTGTTTGGCTGTGACACCATAATGGAAAGAAATATCAGCTTTGCTGCTGCCTTCAACACCTTTGTTTAAAGATGTTGGAGCTTGGCCTGTTTTTCAGTGTAGTACTGTTTCTCTGACTGTGACTAACTGGATGTGCTCTACATCCTCTGACATGGGAGCTGGCCTGGAGCTCATCTAGCTGGCTGTGTGTTTCCTGGACGGTGCAACAGGTGGAGCTGATTGACAGTTGCCTTTTGTATCATTGCTACTTTCTGTATGTCTGCTTCTGTCTCCTTGGAACCCAGTTGGCCTCAGCAGATGGCCGCTCACACTGAGCGTTTCTGTGAAAAGGGAATTTTCCCCTCCACTGTCACTAAAAGCATGCTTGATGTGAGGGATTAATGTCGAGTCAATGAGTCGATGCAATCAGCTGGTTTCCTTAGATAGAAACATTTGAACCAATCTGCCTGCATGGTCTGGTTGAATTGTCTCTGTAAAGTGCCTTCAGATAACATGTGTTGTAAATTGGCGCTATATAAATAAACTGAATTGAATTGGACAATGACCCAAGTCTTACAACTAAACTACTTACAAGGTGACTTAGGACAAAAATAAAAAGCCACACTAATAATTTTGGCAGCTTGCAGAAAACAGGAAAAATGTAATGTCACTAAATGTCAGACATCCATCCATCATCTGTACCTTATTCCCACAACGCAAGGAAGCGCAGAGACATATAGGACAAACATTTTATGCATACACTTGTAACTAATGGAAAAGGGAATGTGTTCAGACTAAATAAATGATGTGTAAATGATGGGTGGATGTAAAGGAATCTTCAGTCAGTCCATGCATAACTAGTAGATTTTTCTCTGAATGTGGATGTCTTTTCTAATGTTTATCACCTTGTACATTATTATTTTGATGTGGAAAAACAATAATTTACATATTTGATATCATAACTGGATGTAATTTTGCTAGAAGCACCTAATCTGATAAATAATGTTTGATGATGGAAACTCTATCCATATTCTTCGGCTTTTCCGCCAGGGTCACTGTGAAGCTGGTTCCTATTTGCAGCAGACTATGGATGAAAGGCAGAGTACACCCTGAACACAGGGCGACACAAATATGTACCGGTACAACCATGTATACACAAAAAATGACAAATGAGAGATACCAATTAATCTGGTCAATGCATGACTTTGACCATGTTAGGAAGACATAGTACCCAGAGAAAACCCAAGCATTTACAGGGAGAACATGCAAACTCCATGCAGAAAGACCCCAGGTTGGAAATTAAACCCAGAACCTTCCTGCTGAAAGGCTGTGCCACCTTGCAGCCCTTTGGCACCTCTCAGTAAAACTACTCCAATCTTTAAGGTTCCTGTTAATCTGTTACATTTTGCGGTATTATAGACCATAGTTTTAAAATGCCAAATTAAAAATGTCAACACTTTCATTTCTTCTTTAGATTAAAATTAAAAAGCTTGGTGAACAAAACATGATTGTTTTCCTAAATCTTAAGCAACTTCTAGCTAAAATTAAGGCTATACACATCAAACAAGATATATTTTACAAACAAATCTAATAATATTCTTATCTTTGTTTATCAGTCTACATCTTGATGTGAGATTATTCTTCATATAAACACTCTGCATTCTATGGTTGGAAAGAACTTAGTTGTTTCATTATCTCAGAGATTATGTCTTGTAATAACTTGTCATTATATTGTTCATTATTCAAGACATTCATTTGTAATTAGATCATTACTTTTTTCATCATTATTTTATGCTAATTGAGATGGCTGTATTTAATAACATTGTGCAGATCCATTTTGTTTGCCTGTTGTCAATATGTGCAAAAAAAACACAAACAAAACAATAATATACTACTCCATACGTTTTTCTGCAGTCATTTTGGACAGAAATTTTACAAAGGAAATGTTGCTATATTGTGCAAAGGCTATTTGTGATGCAACACAAAATGCATATTGGTTTAAAAGTGCATTTATTAGAGTCGTTTTTGGCACTTCAGTTATTATAACTGGTCACACATTTTGCAATAAACAAGAAATGAGCATCCAAAACAAAAAAAAAGTTATGTCAAATTTACTGCCCAGCAGAAATTCAAAATGTCAATGTCTTTGATAGAAAAGTTTAAAGCTGTGATATTTTAATGCAAGTTTAGGGAATGAATAAATTATTTTTCACTGATGCAAGATTGATTGCTGCCAGAAAAATAAATGAAAAAAGGAAAAAGATGGTGCAAGTTCATTCATAAATGCTGTTAACAAATACTGAAAATCTGAGATTCTGTTGACCAACATTGTGAAAAAATAATAAAATGCTTTATATAAACAGAACAAAGTATAAAGATATATATATATATATTAAAAAAAACATGCAGCACCAAGATGTAACTAACATAAAGCAGCTCAGACAACAACAAATTTCTTTAGCACAAAATGAGTAAAAGGTGTTGTTGATATAATAAAACATTTTAAACATGCAGTTAGCCATAATTTCTTAAGAATATTAAGAAATGCATTGAAAATGTACAGAAAAAGGTTCAGACTAGAATAATAAAGACAGGAACAGTGCAATGCAAAATAATCCATATTACTTGAACTTGTTCACATTTTGTCACGTTACAACAGGAAATATCAAAGGATCTTATTAGAATGTAGTGCAAAGCTGTGAACCTAAATTAAAAGTAATAACAATCTGAAAGGTGTGACATGAATGCATCATTTTAACACACCCCCTATGATGACAATTTGAACCCAGAGAGTTCTAACCCAGAGAAACTAATTTCTGCCTTAAAACATTTACAAAAGATTAAGGATAAAGAATACTTCCACAATTCTCTGGTGTTAATGCCACTTTATCCGGCATCAAAATCAAAGGACGGAGCCCTTCCTTAGCAGCAGCTCCTTCAGCATGTGTATGACAGAGTATGTACACACAACAGCTGATGGTATGACTGCCGAAGCACCAGGGAAGGTGACAATACCTCCACTGCATGTCACCTCATAGACAGCTATCAGCCTAGAAGGGGGAAAAGATATGAAGAGAAGTGGAACCTACACCATAGCAGGGACCAAATAGGAACCATATCATATGTAAATCTGAGCACATCTTCATAGCTTCATAGACTGCCTTTCACCAACTTTGGACTCAAACTGGCTGTAGTTCTGCTGGACAAGAAACCACTTATTTTAATTAGCATTTCATAGTTTTGTGTAAGTTTCTGCTTCTGTGACGTTATATATGTGGCTGTTAGATACCTGGAGTGGTATCTGAATTGTCTTCAGAGGATTGTGCACAAGCTTCGTGAAGGGAGAAAAACAGGGATGGGGTAGGGGGTGGTGGGGTTACATCCTGTGCAGAATCACGGATAGTTAATTTAATTCAAGAAATTTTGTCATACAAAGTGCTCTTGCTGCATAGGGGTTTGCGACCCCCATATGAAAGAACTCTGCTCTAAATGATAATCAAAGTATACTCCCTACCCTTTTGCAGCAAAAGCTAGATTTGTGGAGTGAATCTTACTCATCTTACTTAATTATATTTATAGCTATGCACTGTTTTGTTTTAGTCCATCACTTACACTCACAACATAATACTTGTGTGTGCAAAATGACACAATATGATCAAGTTCAAGGCCTGTGAATTTTTTTGGAAGGCACTGTAAACATTTGAAAATATTCAGTAATTCACTGATCTTTAGTAATATCACTGAATCCCAAACATTAATGCAAGTTTTTAGGCACTTTGACTTTTACCACATGTAATCCATCCCTGCTTGGTTACAATATCGCCTTCCTGCTTGTATTAATAAAGGTACCGGATTAGCCTTTTAGAGTAAACCATTTCATCTGCAAGACTTTGCATGCATGTTTAATGCAGGTCAGTTCAATAGGGTTTTCTAGGGCTTCTTTTCAAGATAATTAGAGGGAACCCATCCTTTCCTTGGCTTGCCATTGTCCAGAACCTTGCAGTACCACCAGCCATTGGGGTTTCTTTCCAGAACCTCCAGACTTGTCCCCTCAGGAAACCCCATAGTCTCCTCATCACCAGGGTAATCTGCAATAGAGACGAACACCTCCCTAAGGTTATTATGGATGATGTGGGGCTTTGGTTTCACTGGGGACACTGGAAGGGCGTTCATTGGAGAGCTCAGGCCCAAAGACTCTGAGCTACCGGTACCATATCTGTTCCTGTTGTTCGACGGAAGGGTACGAGGCACAGCACCGAAAGAAGCATTGCGTCGCACCGTGGGGCTTACTCGTGGGTTGCCTGTTGAATTGAGAGACTCATTTCTCCTCAGGGACACAACAGGGCTGGAACTATCCCTGATTGGCGCTGAGATAAAGACAGACTGAGGTCTGACAACCTGCTGCTGCTTGGTGCTGTTTTGTCTAATTGAACTGAAAAAGCTTGTAGGTTTGGAGAGACCACCTGGAGGTTTAGAAGGAATGGGTGGCATGACCTTTTTAAAATTCTGGTTGATGTTGTTCAACACCCGAACCCTTTGCTCATTCTTTTCTAGACTGTTGGACTTGCTGAGGCTTCCAGGTTTAGTTGGGGTACCAAAAGATTCATACTCTCCCATGTCATCTTGTTGTCTGGCGGGCTCCAAGAAGTATGTTGGGGCCCAACCCTCTGCATCTCCCCAACGGATATACCACCAGCCACTCTCCTGCTTGTCAAGAACTTCCACCACAACCCCAGCAGGGAAGCTAAGCTCAGAGTCTTGAACTTTCTCATATGGATCAGTTGTGCGATAGAGATTGCAGCCTTCCATGTCAGACTCTCCCCGGCTGCCTTTGGAGTAGATGGATGAGAGATCAGATGTACTCTGAGAGGAAAATGAATCTTCTGAGGAAATGACTGAAGCTGTCTCAGAATCTTCACCTATACTTTTGGTTCCATTCTTCAGCTGACCTGTTGGCCGTAGCTGTTTTCTTAGAGTGCTGATGTCCATCTTTTCTGCACTAGATGTTTTAGCCAAGTGTGGCTTAGGTCTCACCACAGGCCTTAGCTTAGAGGAAGACTTGTTGAAGGAGATCATCTTGCTCTCTTCATTTTCTCTCTTTGTTTTGGACAAATCTGGGGTTGACTCAGATGACAGTGATTTGGGACTGGATGTGTCCTCAGATTTTACTGATGTAGGGCTCCCATTCAAGTCAATCTTGAGCCTGTTACCAGAAGCTCTCCATCCACTTGATGACTGGTTTGCAGTCTTGCTATTTTCTGACAAAACACTTGTCTTGGACGAGTTTGAGTCTCTGCTGCACTGTCTCTCTGGGGTCTCCCTGAAGGACAGAAAGCCATCATTTTCATAGATACACTCCTCTACTTCAGGCTCCCCTTCTGCCTCTTGGCCATCCTCAAATGATTCCCCCAATTTAAAGGAGGCGCTGTGGAGTGATGAAGCAGGAGATGGCTTAGAAGACAAATGAGATCCTTTCTCAGAGGAAGTTTCTTCATTCTTTAAATCAATCAGAGAACTTTCCCCCCTCAGAAACTCAAACTCAGATTCCAGGTCCAGATCTCCAATGGCAGGTATGTCATATACTGGGTCTTCATAAACTTGCCTCCCAGGAGACACAGGAGACTCTGGGGCCTCAGACCCTGGACTGCTTGGAGGTGCTGTCTCCACTGAATCCTGCTTTTTGACAGGTGGAGCCGGGGGTGGAACTTTTGGTCGGCACAGAGTGCTTGTTCTCCGATTCAAGTTGGGCTTTTTTCGTTTGTCAATGTAGGAACATGGAGCCCAGCCTTCCTTCTCACCAATCTGGACATACCACCATCCACCAGAATTCTTTTCGATCACCTACAGTAAAAAAGATAAATTAGTATACTCTTGTACAGCAGAGACTCAGAAATTAAGGTACGTTGTAAAATATCCAATCAGGCAGTTGCATAGGTTTTTACAGGATTTTACTTGACAGAGTGCTTACCTCAGCTTTCTGTCCACCATTAAAACTGATGCCATCTGATATGCATGACTGGAAATCTGCAATGGTGTAATACTCTGCTTCAACTGCAGGGGGATCTGGAGGGGAGGGCAACTGAAAACCCTAAATGAAAAGAGGAGACTATTAGAACTTCTCAACAGGGGTGAAAAGAAAACTACAAGAATAATATAGAACTTTAGCCAATTCAGAAAATAATTTTACATAAAACACAAAACTTAAAAAGGCTATTTTTTTTCAAGGTCATATTTTTATTACTTCAGAACTCTTGATTTTTTTGGAGGACTGATAAAGGCTAGATTAATTGCATTTTATTAATACCTGTGTATTACATTACCATCATTTTTATTTTAAATTAAAACTTTTTTAGATGGTGATTTTGTTTAAAAACAACTTGTTCAGAATGAAAAAGTAAACTTGCAACCTTTATCATTGATTAAATATCATAACCACATCCCACTACACTAATTACATCCCGGTGGGATTACTGACAGACCTGTAGGTCTCCTAAATTACCTTTTCTCCTAAATAGAAACTGTTTGAGATTAAATTAAAACATAAAAAAGCATTGAGCAGCTGTACATGTTTGAAATAAAATTAAAATAAAGAAAAATAAATAAAAAAGGCTACAGATACTCAGTTCGGTAAATAAATAACGGGCTTAAAATGGTAACAATGCTCTTTTATAGTCTTGCTTAAATTTACCTGTTTCTTTAACTAACCTGCAAACATGAAAAAAGCATTGAAATAACAAAACCATCATCGGGGATAAACACTTTTAAGTGGATGAAATAAATAAAAAACAAAATGATGAGAAGTAGAGACATTCCTACCAGGGTTGCATCTCTCCGAGGGGGAGGTTTTTGCTTGAGGACAGGCGAACCTGTGAAAACAGGAATTAGAGAGAAAAGGCATTTTTTTAGTCATTTATATCCATTAGGGGAGTAGACTTGAGATATGATAGCCTTGATAATCTTTTTAAAATACCATTTTAAAATCTAACACCATACTGAACTCTGTGAAGTGATTTACAAAACTCTTATACTTTTCAAAGGCATAATGTATCAGAGGAGAGACAAATCTCCCAGTTTTGTGAGAAAAAAGTAAACTAAAGTTGCTATTGCTGACCTATTTCCACCCGATGAGGGGATATCCGGGCTACAGCGGGTGAGGCAGGCTCAATTTTGCTTCTTCCTTCCTGTGGGGCAGTAACAGGGCTGGATTCAGTGCAGGGGATTGGCAAGCTGATCTCCTTCCTGGCAACCAGCGGACTTTCAGGGACTCCTTCAGTTGGCATGTTCTTCTCGCTTAAGGACTTCTTGTTAAGCAAGTTGCTGATCTCCATGATATTGCCGATGATCTCGACTGGGCCTGTTACAGTCTTTTTGCGTGGAGACAAATCATCCTTCACTTTCTTGAGGTAGGATGCCGGAGCCCAGCCCTCTTTATCTTGGTATCTGCAAGAGAAGAGACAAATTGGCCCTTTTTTATATAAAGGCTGACAAAATATGTCCACAGCAAGGGAGCAGAGGCATACCTGATAAACCACCAGCCTTCAAGGTTCTTCTGAATGACTTCAACAATGACTCCTTTCTCAAAAGCAATTTCATCTTTTCCCTCGCTGCAGTAAGGCTGTACTGTGATGTACTTCTCTTCTGCCAGAAAAGAGAATGACAAAGAAAACATGTATGATCTGAAAAATGTAACGTAAAAAGAAAAATAAAGAAGCAAGGAAAGAGAAACCTAAACTGGGGAGTTTTCTTTAAGGCCTGGCACCATTTTTGCAAGATGAGAAAATGTGGATGGAGTCTTGCGTTTCTTTTAACAAATATAATTTTTGTGAGATGTGTCCATTTAATAGTTACTTTAAACATGTGCTATCAGTTTGTATAACTTTTCTTTTACTAAAACAAAAGATCTTTATAATGTAGTAAAAAATTGCAAGACTTTTTTACTATTTTAGTAGTAAAACCTTTCACTGGACGTTTACAGATGCAACACGCTTTAGTATTAAGGTAATTGTTTAACAATGATTTACATAACATTATAAAAGAGTTAATAGGCACAGAGCACTGCATGAGGACTGTAATCACTGTACCCTAAGCTTTAGTCTGATGATAACCCCCTATAAAGAGCACTCAGGCGCCGTGGTGGCGGGAATAAACATATTTATCCCTTCAAAATGTCTATTTTTTTTCTAAATTACCATCTAACAAATAAAAAAAAACTGTTTAGTAGAATTAAACAGCAGAATTGGCTTAGATCAGGGCAGTAATTTTTGCTTATGTAAATAAATTATGTGAAAACGAGGCAGACTGTTTCCCAGTTTTCCTTTTTTTAATTATTATTGTTATTATTGCAGTTATGAATTGTATATGGAGAGGGAAATTTTTTAATTATTTATTATCAAATTATAAACATTTGTAGATATTTGGGATAAGCGTGATGGAAAATGGATGGATGGATGGATGTGGATATCTGCACTAAGCCCCCTTTACTAAAACCTCTCTAAACAAAATTGAGAGGAACCAAAGATTTTAAGAAGACAGTTTAATGCAGAACAATCTCTAGGTGGATAGTTTTTGAGTCCTTCATTAGAAAAAAAGAAGAAAGCATGACATCACTGTAATCCTACCAAGTCCTGGTAGGCCAGTTTACGTAGACAGAAGCTTTGTACCTGTCTTTGTACCAGAGGATGTGTTGTCACAGCGGCCTGCAGTGGAGGCAGAGTTACGTGACCAACGGGGATAGAAAGCAATGACCATCTGTCCAAATGGCCAGTTAAGGGTTCACTATAAAGTCCACTATATAGTCCCCACTCTATATAGTGATTGAGGGATTTAGGGGTTAGGGCGGACATTCGGACACTGCCAGAGTCTACGTAAGCTGGCAATCCTTGCAAGCACAGCATTACAAGTAGAAACATAATAGTAACTCTCCAGGGGCTGCAGAATCATCGGCATGGGCATCCCTCTTGACAGTTTCAATACTAGTCAATGCAGGAGAGTCGTGGCAGAAAAGTTTAGTCCTGGCCGACTAAAGGTAAGATTTAAAATCCAGAAGGATAACATTGAACATGGTGAAATTATTGAAATAGACTGGTCTAGTCAAATTCAAAACCTCAATCATTCTAAAATATGTAGTGGAATAGAAATATTCCATACTATTTTCATATTTTTTCTTTATAAGAAACACAACACAAATATAACACACTTTGGTCAATCACATAACAGCCCAATTAATTAATTTTTTTAAGTTTATGGTTGTGATGTGTACAAGTGTAATAGGGCGGCAACTAACGATTATTTTGCAAATTGATTTATCTGTCAATTATATTTTTATTAACTGATAAATAATCGGATAGCAAATGGCTTAACGAAGACTTTTTACGAAATTAAACCAGGTTAAACTCCAAATTTTCCACTTGAGGCATTCTGGATGGAGTATATACAGTAAGGCAGACGGGTGGAAGCACCGTTGTCGACCAAAATCCCGGAATATTTTGAACCCCCCACAAAAAAAAATATAAAAAATTAGGACATCAACCAGAATCTTATTTTTAGATTTGAAAAGTAGGACATGTCTGGGAAAAAGAGGATGTCTGGTCACCCTACTATATCAACCATGTGATGTTTCGGTGAGTGAGTGCTTGTTGCTATGATGCGTCGTTGCTCAGCAGCTTCACTCATTGTAAACCAACCAATCAGCGCACAGCTCATCTAAATATTCATGAGCATACCATAAAAGGAAGAAAACCTATCATTACATTCTAGGGCTTATAACCAGGCTTGCATTAGGGCTTATAAAACAGCAAATATGCCATTTTCAGCCGAACCAATGTTACACACCTTAAAGGAATAGTACACCCAAAACATGATTAGCCTTCATTTTCTACTCACCCCCATGCTGAACAACACTCTGGAGTACTTTTTTGATATCTCAAATGCATCTGGAGATCTGGGAGGCTTCTTGCTGTCTGCTGACATTCAAATAATGGAGGTCTGTTGTGCCCGAGGCAGAAAGGTCCATAAAAGTCCACAAAAAACGTGTCAATATTCCTCCATACTGCTCGTCCAATGGATTCCAAGTGTCCTGAGTGGGTAGCATCCATAATTTACTCGAAACGAAGTCATTTAGAATGTTTTAGAGCATAAACAGTAGTGTATAGGATTTCCTAAAAGCGCACGCCTGCGAGTTCACGAGCCTACGGAAACCGCGGCAGACCAAACCAGATGAAAGTGCGCATTCAGCTCGGCAAAGAACTCATGCTCTTCCTCAACACTGAAGTCCTCAGACATTTTTCTTTCGTTGTTTCTTTCTTTGCACAGGTAAACAGCAAATTTCTTCTTCTACGCTTGCATTATCAAGAGCAGACACTGAATGCGCACTTTCATCTGGCTTGGTCTGCCGCAGTTTCCGTAGGCTCGTGAACTCGCAGGCGCGCGCTTTTAGGAAATCCTATATACTACTGTTTATGCTCTAAAAACATTCTAAATGACTTTGTTTCGAGTAAATTATTGACGCTACCCATTCAAGACACTTGGAATACATTGGACGAGCAGTATGGAGGAATATTGACACGTTTTTTGTGGACTTTTATGGACCTTTCTGTCTCGGGCACCATAGACCTCCATTATTTGAATGTCAGCAGACAGCAAGAAGCCTCCCAGATCTCCAGATGCATTTGAGATATCAAAAAAGTACTCCAGAGTGTTGTTCAGCATGGGGGTGAGTAGAAAATGAAGGCTAATCATGTTTTGGGTGTACTGTTCCTTTAAGGACCAGCACCAAACACCCTATATAATCATTCTATAACCACTTTAACAAAATCAATGAAATTATGTTAATTAGCTGTCTGTCTAATGCTAAGGGTTAAACTGAGGGTACTACAAAGGGTAAAATCCCACTGTCCCCGGTCTTGTCAGATATAATCTTCTCGCTTTGCACACAGCTGTAAACATAAAAGTATTATAATCTTTTCTGGTTTCCCAAGATCCCAAGGAGCAGACTTGTGTCATACCTTCCTGTTCCTATGGGGCATGTTTAAAAGTAAGAGTAGATACAAAGTCGTTTTTTGTGAAACGATTAACACACATTTTTCTCCTTTCCAGGACTTTCCACCATTCTCTGTAACATTTGGCAGATCTTTTTACCCACAAAAACAGCATGAAGGGGGGATTCCAAATCAGATGACATCTTAACCACAACATGCATCTGTTGTGAAATCGATATAAATTATTATTGTAGAGTCAGCAAAACCATCTTTTTTTTGTCAACAGAAAGAAGAATTTTTGTTAAAGAGTGGAAACAATCTTTTTACAATCATTAAAGGAGTAGGCAGTGCTGAGAGTAGCCGTCCCTCTATTCTTTCTCCGTAATCAAAAGACAACTCCAGTAAGATGTGGCTTTGCTAATAACTAAGATGGGTATGAATGAGTTTCTTTGTTTATCACTCATTTTTGTTTGCTGTTGTTTTTTCATATTTTTCATTTGAAGTACTGTAGGATGTTTGTTCATGCGAGAGCCATTACCCATTACAAATCTACATACATGCTTCATTTTCTCATAAAAAGAAAAACACTGCTGTAAAATGCAGCCTAAGGCATTCCAAAGTCTGTTATGTAACTACTTTCAGATGACTGGGTAATAATTTTCTCTTTTTTTTTTTCTCCATAGCTCATATTACTAGTTTTAGCTCACATTCAAAAGTATAACAGATCGCAAACAAGAAGTAGTTTTAATTGAGAGCTCAGTATGGATAATTATTGTGTGTGAAGGTGTCTATTTAAAATTTGCTATACTGGCTCTTTTGACCTGAAAATCGGTTAGTGGTTAGTTTTTGTGGATGATGCCACATGATGAATGGGTTTTGCTGCAAGACAACACAAAATGCAAAACAGAACAAATATGTACTTATGGAGAGAGAAGCAAGAAGATTCATGTGATGACAGACAATAAATTAGATGGTGTGAGGAGAACAATAACCCAGAGGAAGGAACAGGGGGAGAGAGAGAGGGGAAGGGTAGGAGGCGATGGGTCATTTATCTTAGTTCACCTCGGCTCTGCTGCCGACTGATGACACCCCCCAACGTCCATCTCCGGTCCAGCCTCTTCAGATGAGCCTTATGTCGCTTAGTAACTGACAAACAAAAGAGGTGACCAGACGACGAAAAACAAACATGGAGACATGAAGAGCAGGCATAAACATTATACAAACACAGAGCACACAAATGACATGGGTCCGACCAAAGGAGGCCCATTATTAGCTATACAGAAGACATAAAAACAAGACCAGAGAACAAAACATGATAAGCAGTTAGAGTGGATGGGTGAATGGATGGTTACAGAGGAAGTGTTAAAACCAAGACATCTTCGCTGCGGCCTGTAATTAGGATGTTGTTAGCATGGTTTTCTCATCCTGTTGTGTTGGGGCATCTGGAGAACAGATTGCTGATGCAGGAATGCAGTTTAATTAAGACATCCAACTGAGAGCACCACCTGCTGGAGATGTGCCCATGAACTGGTCTATACTATAATGCAGACAAAACAAAAGAACCAAAAATCCCTTCTACATGGGTCTTATCTATGCTTCATTTGTCCTCTTAAACTGCTTGTTTTTTATACTATTAACTATAAAATGATTAAAACAAATTTAAAAACAAATTTGCATAATAATGCATTAATGTGACAAAAAAATTGTTCGAAAGCAGACATAGTGTTTAAAAAGATATAAGATCATGGCCTGATTTACTAAAAATTGGCTTCGTCCACCTTTAGGATTTTAGGTTAAGTAATTAGGTTTCGGTTAAGTAATTTTCCCTCTGCTATCAGGATCTCATTCTTGAAGAAACGAGCATACATGATATGTGGATACAAGCACATCAATCAAAGTGAGCTGTGTATTAGATGTAGCATGTATCATGGCAGTACTATGATGCCACATAATGGTCCAAGTTATACCGAATTATGACTAACTTAAATAATATCCATACTAAATACCTAAATCTATCTCAATATTGTGCACCGTATGAACCATCTCTATTTAATTTTGAGTAAGCTGCAGCATCATGAACGCAGGTTGCCCTACTGATATTTGTACAGCAGGAGCACTACAGCTAATATGATGAGAGCTAACATGATGGGAGCGTCATTCATCGCCATTTGCCAACTTCAAGGTAAATTTTCTGTAATAATAAAATAAACTAGCTACCTCAGGCATTAGGGAAACAAATACTACTACCACCATGTTTCCGACGTTGACAGATTAGTGATCATGTGGTTAACAACTAGTAACACTAAACCCAAAGCATTTGTAAGTTGTTAGAATGTGTATTTGATTAGTTTGTTACTTTTAAAGTCGTGGGGAAGCGGCTGTTCCAACCATTGCATTTCCAAATTCTCCCGAATGGTGCCAGACTTTACATGAGTGAATTAAGTTAATGTGATTGGTCATTTATCAACAGAGCAGGATTGTTGTGGTGGAAGGTTCGCAAGCAAGTTTGGTGCTACTAGGTCCCCAATGGGAAATTACTTTGGGACCAAGTAGCACTTAGAAATGACACCGTCAAGGAACGTTATGACAGCGGAAACATGCAAGAGGAGGATGTTGTGGAATAGGACGCCAGGGCAGCAGAAGGTTGGTTTGGTGTAAAAGGCTTACAGCCGTACATGTTTGAGCCCTTTCCTCGCCATGCTGCTATTTCTGTTAGCTCTACCCCTGCCGAAGACACAGACGTCCATTCCTTTGAATACCGGGACGCAACTCAATTGTAAAGTAAATCATTTTTATTTCTTAATTTCAACTGTTGCTTATATTAGCTGCGACATATGAATCCATATGCTATTACCGAAAAAATGTCATTGACAGATGATCATTGATAAATTATTTGCCGAATTTAGGTGTACACGCTGATGTATAACTAACTGACCAGCATAAAATAACGAAAAAAAAAACCTCACAGATTTTAAGACACAATTTTTTTTTAAATAGAAATTTTGGGACTATATAGTCTAGAATGATTTGACATTCAAATATGACTTCCCTACAACTTTAAGTGAAAGCAAAAGTACCAAATGACTTGAGAGCAAACCTTTTTTTTATTATTTTAAATCTGATATTATGGGCATGGAGCTGTAAAGCCATAATACTCTGATAATGTGATATTTTTGGTTAAGAATATTATACGTTTAGAATTTCAAACAGGATTGTGCCTAATTATTACACATACTGTGAACATAGTTCAGTTTTGAGGTTAAAGGTATAAATATGACACAATACAAAATTAGACTATTGCCTTCTTGTTAATCACCCAATGTTTTAATTAATTAATCCCAAATCAAGAGGACTTGCAGTACCCTCTCACCCAATGAAGGAGTCTGGAGGAACAGGTACATAGAACAGGTACGTTTATGAATAAGATGGCTGCAAAATCTGGTTTGTTTGGAGTTTGCAGTTAAAAATGCTGCTTTATCCTTTAGTAAATCAAACCTCCTTTTTAATTGGAAAGCATTTTAAAGCCATAAAAGACAACTCACTGCGAAGAAAACACTAATTCAGTGTTTTATGTAGGGATTATATGCCAGCCTGTTTCTCCCCCTCATACATCCACGTGTTGCCTGGCAACTGCTGAGAGGACAGAAATAGTTTGGCACACAGACCCCCCATCATTTGCCAAACTGTCATCTTACATTTCAGTTTTAAACGGTTTGAACACATGAAATATAAGAATTGTACATTTCTTACACATTTTATACCAAAGCCAGCTGTTTGTTTCAGTGTTTCCTTCGCGCTGTTGCTCAACTTACAGTAGTGTCTCAGTAATCATGGAAATGTCAGGAAAAGTGTCTCTGTCAGGAGGCAAACATAGTAAAAATGGTGCAATCGTATACAACTAGCTTGAATACAGCAAACGCAGGATGAGGTGACGCTACCTCAGGTTTTTGTTATACAGTGCTGAGGAAAATGCACTCCCTTGCAATTTTTTTTTTCACTTCTGAACTTTTTTATAACACTTAAATATTCAATATTTTTTATACATTTTCATTTTTCAATTTTAGCTTTTCTACATATTTTTTTTACAAATATAGAATGAGTAAATTAAAGCAGATTCAAAATAGTAATAACCTTTTCTACCCAAAAGTAATTAATTCTAACCAAGCTCCTCCTATGTGAAAAGATAATTGCCCCATAAACCTAATAACCACTTTGTACCTCGCTTCAGGGCAACAGCTGCCATCAAGCATTTGTGACAATTGGCAATGAGTCATTTACATCACCATGGAGGAATTTGGCTCACTCCTCATTTAGAGTCGTTTTAATTCACCGGTCTTGGAAAGTTTGCGTCATGCATGACCAGTCTATTTAGCACAATGCCACAGCATCCCATTCATTATGTCTGAATTGGACTAGCCCACTTTAAAGACTTTAAAGTTTATTTTTCGGTCATTCCGTGGTGGATATACTTATGTGCTTGAGGTCAAAAACTTGTGGCTGGACATTCTTCCTCATTATTGTCTATCAAAGAGCAGAATTAATGGTTCCATTAATTGCAGCCAGTGGTTACTGTCTGGAAACATTTGTTGTGATGTTCCTTTTCTAAAATGCTGTATTAATTGGAAACCAGATGTAACAGCGCCGCTGGTCACCAAAAAGTTTCTTTGAGGATAATTAAATGGTTTCCTTTGCAAATCAAATATGTGCTCCTATGTAACTTTTGGTCAACAGGTTTTCACTTTGTAAGTTTAATTTAATCTTTATTCCATTGATACATAATGTACAAGGACTGACCTTAAGTAAGACAACAGATGCAAGTGATTTTTTTTCAGTATCTTCTGTCTTTGTGACCTCCTTGTGTTGTTTTTCTCCTTCTTATTTGTGACTAATGGCTATTACTGTGATCTAATAGCACCCAAAGTTTTAGATCTCATTTTGTAACTGTTAGCATACAGTAAATGTCAAATATTTCCTCAACTGGTTATGATTTACTCTAGATTGGGCATGATATGCTGCCTTTAGATATATTTTAATCTACTTTATGTTGTCGGACACGTCGTATTTCACTCACTAGACTAACCCTGTCATAAAACAAAACCGATGATTTTCTAAACTTGTTTAATTACAGTTAATTTTTGATCTAATAAGGTCACAACAACACTTTTTCCCCCATAGAATGAAGACAGTTTGGGTAAACTTGTTCCCTTAAAATGAACTTATTTTTTAAGATTATTTAATTTATACAGCTTACCCCTGTCACAATGCTGCACTTTAATTGCAATAACTTGTGCAATAACTGTGAAATAACTTAATACCCAGTGCAATAAACTCTGCAATAATCTAGTTTAATAACAGACGTCAGCTGTTTTAGTTATCTCATTACCTCACTGTGGCTCCTTACCTGGTACCACTTTAATGTATAATGCGAAAATTTAAGTCACCTTAAATGTACATATGTCACCTTAAATCTCTGTCCTATTACTTTTTTTCTTGATCCATTGTATATATGTGGATCCACTTTATGTATCCCATGCACCTTTTCCACCTTTTAGCGACTTTTTTTTAACTATTGAGCCAATGTGACAAGTGAAATTCTCCACTGTGGGATAAATAAAGTCTATATTATCTTTTCTTATCTTATAATAAAATTTTATTAGATGGTCCAAGATATCCCAGTGTGACAAAAAACAAACAAACAACAGATTAAATCTGTGTGGGATACATACTTTTTCCACAACATTGCATGTTTTTTTTTTTTTTTTAATCACCACTTCTAATTTTTGGTTTCCCAAAACTTTTTTATGTGACATCCCCAGATCACAGACGAGAAATTGACAAAGAGGCTCTTTGTGAGAATCGTGCCATTCCTCTGACTAAGTAGACTCATAAACACTAATTACACTGACAGATTGTCTCTCCCTACCCCCCCAGCAGCTTAAATAATAAACCTCAGCTACCTCCAGCTTTATAGAGTACAAAGGAATATTGGCATTGACAACTTTGAACATTTGTAATCAATAAACGTGCTATTGGGTTGGCTACAGGTACCATTCCTGACCACAAAACCCCATCTGTTGTCAGGGTTCCAGCATAATCCTGTGTTTTATAAATGGTATTTAAGCAGAGTTTGGGGAAAACCTGCATTCTGAAATTAATACCATACCTTACCTGATTGAACTCCATTAGTATGATTTAAACTCCATTCATTTGCTAAGAATCAGATGAGACTTGTTGAAGGCCTGTTGTGTATCCAACAGGGAAACGATGCTGATTGGATCCAGACTTTGGTGGTAAACTTTGGCCTGTTATTCTGGTGAAAATAAATCACTAAAAAGACTGTTTGCTATTAAGCTCTTGGATAGCTCACAGCGACTTCAGTAAACTCACAAACCCTAACATCAACACTCAGCATCAATTTGCAATGATAAGCAGATAATGCATGAAACAGTGTTAAAGTCATGTCAGAGCTGGTTTTCTTTTTTTAACCAGTGCCATAATTTAAACAGTATGACTTATATAAAATATAATTTTTCTATCTCTGCTGTTGATAAAAATTCATGCCTCTTTCATGAGCACACTCCGAGGTGGTCAAAGCCCTAAATGCTGCCCTGTATCTTTCCTGCCTCCTGCATTACTGTACAGTACATCGCTTCAGACACTGTGGTTTGGTCTTTCCTGGCACCTCTTGCTGTTTACCAAGGTTTGAATCTACACTATGACAAAGTGAAGCATTGATGGCAGACAGACGGAGAGAGCAATTCAGAGCTGCTGGACCTTAGCTGTCAGGTTGAACTGACTGAGGAGATGCTGTCCCTAGTTTTCCTCACTGTGTTGCAGATCAAAGACTGGGGCATGTGTTTGGGTGCAGTGCTTTAGAAAAGTATTCAAACCCCCAGTGTTTTACAACACTTCATCATATCATAAGCAAAACATGTTTGCAAAAAAAAACAGCATTGCAAAGGAAAAATATATATATATAATTTTCAATTTGAAAAAAAATCATATACTATTAGCTGGAATTTATGTTTTTAGTCTTTTGGGGTATATATCTAAACCTATTTGGATTTCTATTTATGTATTTTTCCCCTCCTCCTTCTTTGCTAAATAACTAAAGCTCAGTCACTATGCTAGGTGAGCAGCTCTAAACTTTAAGGCTTAAATCCTGCCATAGATTCTAAACTAATGTGACGCCACCTTTCAATCAATCCTGGAGGCTTGTCAGCTTCTGACCATCACCAATTGTGACTTGTCTCCCCTGCAGGAGCAGCAGTGTCTCTTTCTCTATCAACTTTCAAAAGGGTTTTGCAATAGAAAAGGTAGACATTTCTCTGTGACAAAAGACATCTAATAAAAGACAAAATGTTAGTTGTGAACAAGCTATTCAGACACGCTAACCTCTAAGTATATAGGAGATGTAGCAAAGTTAATTGTATTCCCAAACACGAAAAAGGAGCCGTTCAAAATAAAAAGGCCTACTGTGAGGAGCTGAACACTGGGAGCTATATGTTGTTAATTTGTAGGAAGGTAACAAACAATTATTCCTTTTTTGCTTTAATTACAGCGTTTTCCCATGTTTAGCTTAGAAAAAGCCTGCATTCCCTAATTAATTAGCAACACATGTGGAGATAAACCGCATTAATGCAATGTGCTGGCATGGGCTGCAAATAATTATACACAGCCTTATCATGTATGTTATGAAAACATAATTCAGTTTTTTACCCTCTCATTTATGTACTCAATTCTCTAACCACATATTTGTAACAGCAAAAGGTGTCAGACACAGCAACTCACAGCAAGCCTGATTGTGTCTCTTATTATTCTTTCTCTGTCTGTAGAAAACCTGGACTTTAATATTGATTTTTATGTTACTGCCTTGAAAACACTTTATTGACTTGATCTAGAAAGAAATGCTAAAGTGAAATATGCCATTCAAACACCATCCAAACAAATAAGAAGTCTTGAAAAATAAAAAAAAGAGAGACAAAGGCCTGTTGCCAACCTAAACCAAATAGTAATCAACTGGAGCTACCACTGGATATTATTTGTCATAGTAATAAAAACAAGACCCATGTCAGCATAGTGCTACAGTCACTATGTTTGCCATGAGGTGTATTGATTGCTTGTTTTCCGCCCCTCTAAGCATGGTCAAAAAAGTAATAAATAAAACACCTTTCCAAATTACTGCTAGGTGGGAATGGAACAGACTACTTGAGGCTGCATTTTAGATACGTGGACACAGCACTCTACAGGGACTTACCTTCCCCTGCTTTGGAGGCACCCAGCTCCAAATCGTCCCGTGTCCCATTGTGAGAGTTGAGATAAGTAGCTGGGACCCAACCCTGCTCTTCTGCAGTGCTGACAAACCACCAACCTGTTAAGAGATAAAAGAAGCTGAAAACCAACAGGACCTGCAGGCTTGTTTTTGTTCACCTAACAACTCCCACAATACATGCATATTAAAATGATGTAGAATTAGAAAGGGCATGGAAATAAAGTCTTTTTGATGCATCTCAATATTTCTAATAAATCACTTCATGATTTTTTAATCAGTGATTTTCTATTGATAACACAATGGAAAATCGCAAAGACAAACTATGTGTAAAACCTGGTTATTTTGCCCATAAATCAACCTCTTTCACTGCCAAGAAGAAAATGAACACTGGCAGGCTACTGGTCGACTCATGACAAAGTTTTCTTTAAGTCTGCATTTCATCAGGATCAACACAGAAAAAAAAATCACAGGGCAGGATGAGCTGATATGCTCTTCCTAGCCAAATTCTCCATTTGCAGATGTGAAAACGACATGATTTAACGGTAGTGAACATGATGACAACTTTCCTCTGGCTTATTAAAAGGGAAACATAATGATTAATTGTAATGCCAGGTTTAAATAAAATAAACAAGTTAGTGAGTACGGTTGGTGAGTGCTCATAAGATCCAGCCAAATAAGATATTCCTGTTAATGTTCTATTGTAAAGTAGGGTACACTCTGTGAAAAATTGGCCTGGTTATAACTTTGCTCATCAGTCAAAAGCACTGATTCACCTTCAGTGGAAATTAAAGGAGGGATACAAAATACACTGTGTGATCATTATGTATATATATATATATATATATATATATATATATATATATATATATATATATATATATATATAATAAAAGAATCAGCCAGTATAACAAATGGCAACAAATAATTTGTCATCTATGTTTTTCAAAATTATATGCTGAAGTACGAAATCAAAAAGTCATCAGCATTCTAGTTCACTTTTAATGTGGTTTTCTCAGTATGATGAAATAAAATTAAACCTAGATCAATGAATTTTATCAAAAGAAAAACAAGCAGGAATGGTTAACTGATCATATATTAAACATCCCTTCCTGTTTCTGTTCAGTTAATGATGTAAAAAAAATAATAACCTGTATTTTTCACTGCAACTGCTCATTACAGTTAAAGTTGTCCTTTGCATTTAACCCATAGCTTTTGGCGATCTCAGTGAGTGTTCTGGGCCTAAGAGTCTTGGTCAGGAACCCAGAGATCCTGAGCAAACCCATGCATTTCAAACCAGTAAAGTAGATTTAAGCATAAAAGCTGAATTTAGGACACATTTGCACAGAGAATTATATCTATGAGCTGAAAGTGTCATTGATTTAGCGACACAATGACTGCCCTAAAAGCGAAATAGTTGATCAGGTGGTGAATCACCTTCTAAATTATAAATATTATTTCATTTGTTGATGCACTATATTAGTAACTAAAGAAACTTAAAAAAACACCTATACAACACAGATAAAAACCTCAAAACATAAATAGTATAAAGTCAACATGCAACTGCAAAACTTTCTCAGATGTGTGTGAGAAAAAACTGTGCTATATTTAATATGCCAAAGGCACACACACACACTATTTGTTGTGGTAACAGGATTACAATATGGCTGACAGCTGTATGGACGACCCATAAAGAGGACAGAACTGTTCCATGACTCTTTCACAGCTGGTCCAAACCTCAAGTGTACACTTTCCTGTGAAAGTCTTCTGGTATAAATCACTGCTGTTGCTTATGGTTATTAATAACTGCTATGTGAGGAACAGAGGAGAAATATATACATTTCTGAAGCATCAACAGTGGAGTACATGCAGAAATGGAGACAGTGTTTCAAATTACAACCACAATATTCTATTGGCAATGCATGTGATAAATCAACACAAAATTGGGCTAAATTGTAAATAGAACTGAAATACGCTTTTTTTTTTTTAAATTTCCTTTTTTTTATAAATCTGCAAACTTTTGTGCACCCTTTACTCCAAAACCTTTTTGACTAATTGAGTACAGCTGTTTTATAAATACAGTATATCACAGGCTTTTTAGAGAACATTAAAATCACTATCAGAAAAAGCTTATAGACGTGCAAAGAATTTGCATTAGTGATAAGGTATTACAAATAGATAAACATTGATTTAAATAAACTAAAAATACATTTTGAAATATATTATGTGGAACATTTGAAATGAGTGGAATAAGACATCATATAGAAGAAGAAAACAGTACAAAGTTATAAACTTGGAGGAAAAATTAAAAGCAAGTTTAGACTGAAATAATCTCACAAGCTTTTAACAGCTTATGTTTCACTGTTAGAAATGCATATAACTTGACACTGAAAAAAAATGTAGCCAGCCAGCTTTTGTGATGGAAAGCTCAACTGGAAGAATTAATTCACAAGAAAATGTCAAGGAGGCTATGTAAATATCTGAAACAAGGTGTTGTGGACATTGATTTCAAAGTTAACAGTTTGGATCTACTTGCAAAGTGCTAACTATGGAAAAGAGAATACAATAGTCAAAAGCATAAAACATGGAGGTAGGAGGATCACCATTTGCAATTACAGGGAAGCTGTCTAGAGTTGGTGGCTATAGTGGGTGATAAGACAGATAAATGCAAATACCGGGGAATCCCAGAATAACACCATTTAGACGTTCCAACAGATCAATGTGGCACGTAACCAAGGGAATGGTTTTATGTAAAAAATACATTCAGTTAAAGCAAAAACCTAGACCAATTCTCTAATCTGTAACAAGACAAGAAACTTTAAAATTTACCGAAAATTTACATCACTATGATTGATATTTGTGTGAGCCTTTTTAGAAAAAAGCATGGAGAAAAACACACATTTCTTTATATATAAAACAGGTGGAGATAGAACCACAGAGAACTGCAACTAAAAAGTTAACTAAAAGGTACTAAAAAGGTATTAGTTTAAATTACTAATCCAGGAACGCTACAAAGAGATAGAAGCCACACTTTTCAGGTTGTAATTAAGGAAAATCTTTTAAAAGTGGTGGAAAATCATATTCTATTCCCCAGTAATGCTGCACTATATTTTGATTTGTCATAAAGATGAGGAAGTCTGCAAAAGCTTCAAAGCCTTAATGATGAGCAAACAGTTTGGACGTATTTTATTAAGGCGATTGATTTAGCTGTTAGTAAATTAAATGAATAAAAAAATAACTAGCTGTTCAGTATTCCAAACTCTCATGACTAACACAACCAACAAATTGATTTTGCTTCCTCCTTCCTGTCCACCCAAATCCAACTGGAAGCTAAAAGAACCATAAACATCCTTTTGACAGATGAAAGCATGCCATTCTCAGTAGCAGCAGCAACAAATGAAATGCTTCTAAATCTATTTCAGCTTGAAGTGTAGAACATCATATATCTGAAGAAAGATGTATTTGACTGATAGACTTGCTAATAAAGAATGTCATCAGAATATCACAAATATCGCAAAGTTCACAGTCATGTAAAGCCATTTCATAATAATTATTGCTCAAGCTGAAAGTAAATTTATGGCAGATCTGTTGATTTTTTTTATATGTAATTGGGAAAACACAGAAACTGCAAATAAGAGGAAAGAAAAGATGCAGACAGATATAGAACAGAGAAGACGACAAGCTGCACATTCTGAATCTTAAAATATTTTTCAGTTCTCTTACATCTTTTGCCACACTTATTCAGACTCAGAAAATGTTGAAATTGAAAACTATATATTTTCATACTTTATAGTCTATGTATAGACTATTTTGCAGTTGGCCGTTCAATTAAATGAGTCAAGATAAGAAGTGGTGATTGGCTCTTAGATTTGCCAGCTAGCATCCTGACACATACAGTAACAGGCCATTTAATAGGTTTCTTTGAATCAAAGCTTTAACTTGAATCAAAACACGCTGCCAATAAATCAGACTGAAACAACAAACCACACTAAACAAAACATGCTGCCCACAGATTTTAAATCAAAAGACATAAATTACTTATTCCCTCTATCCACTGCACATATCAAAGCTTAATAAAATGTATTATTATGATTAATTACATGAAATTACAGTGACATAATTTCTTTAAGCCAGTTTAGGCCAAACAGTCTTGAAAAGTGACAATAACTCATTAGACCATTGACAAAATTTGTATAAATTCTCCGGATTCTAACTGATCATAAGCTGTTTATGGTGTATAAATAAAATCAACCTCAAAAAGTGTGTGTGGGTGTGTGTGTGGGGGGGTCAAGATGCCTAAACCTGCAAAGGATCATTTTGACTCACTTGGAATGTAATCAGTGAACACTGAGGTGTTTGAAGAAGCTTTTTTTTTAAACTCTGCGCTGAAAATATATAAGGACATAAAACATGTGCTGCTAATCCAAAAGGTCTGAGAAAATATGAACTCTTATTGATTCAAGAGGTTTATAGGATTCAACCATCCCTCCATACCTCAACTGCTTAGACTGAGTTCACTGAACCTCAAAAGAATAAATAAATAAGCAGGAACACATTATACATGTGCTGATTTCCCTAAAATCTGCATTTCACATCTAAAAGGTTATATCTATGTACAAAAAATCTCCTTGCTTTTATTCAAAGAGGGTGTGCTCCGCTATTGTTGTTCACAGGCAGCACATATACATCTTTAAGAAATCATGTGGTGTACTTTAGGTTTCCAGTAAAATATTCCAAACACCCTGTACTATATAACAAGGTGTGGTGAAAATTAGGGTGTGATTCTTACTACTTGGATGCCAATTCCAAACTTGACAGGGTTAACATATTGTGTTTTTTTACAGTGATACACCTCCTTAACTGAGGTCATTGCAAAAGAAACAGCTGTTTTGTGGGTCTCTTGCTGCCAAGACAGCAATTTTTCTGTATTACACAATCCTGACTTTCAGATGAAATCACATTCTGAAGTCTGCATGGAGCTCTGGAACTTGTTAACCTTTATGTAAATGGGACTGCATGGATCACAAGGTCTTGGTGTTAATCTTTCAGAATATACACTGTGAAATACCCAGCAGATTTCAAATATAATGTGCCTGTTAACA